GGGGGGGGGAGCAGATTTCTCGAAGTAAGATCCAGGGTCTTAATGGACCACCTGAAGTGCTGGTTATAATGTGGAGGCACCCAGGCCCTCCTTAGACCCACTAGCCAGACTCCTGGGGACAGGGCCCAGAGTTCTGCATGCTATCTCATTTCCCAGATCATGTACCTGAATGGGTTCATGTTTGGTTGATAGAGCCAAACAGAGCATAAATATAGAGACAGCCAATCACAGCTTTCTAAACATATTCTTTTTAAAAATCTATTTTATTTTTAATTAAAATATGATTGTTATTTCCCTTCCCCCCCTCCAACCTCTCCCTTGCCCCCTCAAATTAATGGCCTCTTTCTCTTTTTCTTTATTATTATTACACACACACACACACACACACACACCATATTCTAAGTAAAACGCTCAAAAAGCTGTGCATGGTGACACACTCCTTTTATCCTAACACATGGGAGGCAGAGAAAGGTGGATCTCTGTGAGTGCCAAGCCAGTCAGGTCTACATAGTGAGACCCTGTTAAGGCATGTGGAGAGATTGCCCAGTGGTTAAGAGCACTTATCGCTATTACAAAGGACCTAGGTTTGGTTGTAAGTACCCATAAGGTGGCTCACAAACATCTGTAATTCCATTTTCAAATGATCTGACTCCCTTTTCTAACCTCTCAGGGCACTAGGAATGCACACAGTGCCTTTACATATGAGGCAAAACACATACACAAAATAAAATCTTTTACTATTATTTTGAGACAAGGTCTGACCAAGTAGCTGTGGCTAGCCTGGAACTCACAGAGATCCGCCTGCCTCCCCAGTGCTGGAGTTAAAAGTGTGTGCCACCACGCCCAGGCAATAATATATTTTTGAAAAACTCCTTAGATGAATATCAAGTATTGGATACCCAGTCATTTTCCTTTAGCTTTTTTTTTTTGTTTGTTTGTTTTTTTTTTTTTGGTTTTGGTTTTTTGAGATAGGGTTTTTCTGTGTAGTTTTGGTGCCTGTTCTATATCTCGCTCTGTAGACCAGCCTGGCCTCGAACTCACAAAGATCCACCTGGCTCTGCCTCCCAAGTGCTGGGATTAAAGGCATGTGCCACCACTGCCTGGCTACTTTTCCTTTTCTTAAACTTGCTGATGAGTTGAAGGACTCCATCCTAATTTGATTGATAGAGCCTTCTTGGCTATGTAAGATTTCACTGTAGCCAGGTGTGGTGGTGGCACATGCCTTTAATCCCCGCACTTGGGAGGCAGAGGCAGGTGGATCTCTGTGAGTTCCAGGCCAGCCTGATCTACAAGCATGAGTTCCAGGATAGCCAGGACTATTACACAGAGAAACCCTATCTTGAAAAACCAAGGGGAAAAAAAAAAAAAAAGATTTCACTGTATGGGTGGGGCTTGATGGCTCCCTTGGCAGCATCGGTTCACATCTGTCTCCGTTCCCAGCCTTGAGTGACGTCTCCGTGAAAACAAACCAGTACAGACAAAAACACCTTTCAAACCAACCTGGGCTTCCTGCCTGGTGGAAGTGTGGAAGTGTGAACATGTGTTACCGTTTGAATGTGAAACGTCTCCTGCCTGTGTTTGAACACTTGGCTCCCACTTAGTGATACTGATTTAAGAGTCTGAGCCTGGCTGGATGAAGTAGGTCACTGGAATGGGCCTCGAAGGCTTTATCTTCCGGTTCCCCCCTGTTTCCTGCTTCCTGACCCAGCATGACGTCAGGAGTCACCATCACATGTTCCTGCTGCCTTCCCAGGTGTCATACCTTCCCTGCCATGAGGGACAGATAACACCTGATGAAACTCTTAACCAAAACAAAGCTTTCTTCCCTCCTGTCAGGTACGAGAAAAGAAACTGATACTCAAGGTTTGAAGGAGCCCTCCAGTCATCCACCTGCTCAGAGTGAGGCTCGGTTAATATTTTGGTGTACATGTTGAAATGTCCTAGACTGTGGACAGGGTCTTATGTATCCAGCTTGGCCTCAAACTCATTTTGTAAACAAATCTGACCTTGAACTTCTGATCCTCCTGCCTCAACCTCCCAAGTCCTAGCTTGCAAGTGTGTGCCACCACCGCTGGTTTGTGGGGTGCTGGGAGGAACCCAAGGCTTCACGTTGCCAGGCAAGTGCTCTACCAAGCTCTAACTCCAGGCTGGCATTTTTGAGGCACCTGACATCATCCTGGCTGTCGGCTCGCTCTAGGGCTATGCCAGGGGTGGGGTCCAAGCCTTCCCCACTAACCAGGGCCCTTCCACAACCCTCCCTCCACAGTCTACCCAGCACTGAAACTAAGAAGTCCCTTGACAGCATACCGATGCCAGGAGGGAGGAAGCTCTGGCTAGCCATCAGGCGAGCTAGGCCGCCCACTGAGGCCAGAATTTCAGCACTGACTTCCACAAAGAGTGGTTTGTGCTGACCACCTCATCTGAGTTTCACACGAGAGGTGTAAGCCAGACACATGCCTTGTTGGGGAGCCCAGGATTGCCCACCCTGGGCCACAACCACCAGAGCTCAGTTGTGAGTCTCAGACACCCTCCCAACCAGTAAACAGGAGCTCACCACTATGTCCCTATCTGCCTGTGTTAAAGTAGGTGACATCCCCTGCCAGCCTTTGGCACTTCACGAGGAAAAAAGACAGCTTGAGTCCTAGGAGCCCTTACAGGCTACAGATCTATTTTCCCTGTGGCTCTGTTTGCCTTTGAAGTAACATGTGACCTGTAGCAAGCCACATGTTGAGGGAGGCCGTTTAATGCCTGCCAACGAAAACAAGCGAAGGCGGACTGACAGCTGGCTGGCCTATGATTCACCTGAGGACAAACGGAATCCAGGCGAATCTCGAGGGGGGCTGCCACCGAGGGAGCATTCAATCCCCAGACAGGCTTTTCCCTGTGGGACCTGGGATTGCAACCTGCTCCCAGCTCACTTCAGCTCGGCGGAGATGGATGCTCAGAAGCAAAGTTTGGGGAAGTAGGGTGTTTTGGGAACAGCTGGACATCCAGAGGACAAGTGCTGGTTTCGCTTTCTGACTGGTGGTGACCTGAAATGGCTTCCGTGAGCTTCTCACCTCAGAGCCTTCAGCTGTGAGTGAAGGAGTGGTCCTCTACTTTGCTTACCTCTTGGAACTGTATCCAGGCTGAATGAAACACTGCACAGGGACAGGGCAGGACCTCAAGAGCACGGCTTATGAAGTTGGGTGGGAGCACTTAAGGGTGGAGCCCTACTGGGCTTTCAAACAGCAGGCGTCTTGCACTTGAGCTCACGAGGACATGTAAAGATTATCACCAAGTACCAACCTGCTTCAAGATGGGATAACTTGGGGGGGAGGCGGGATTGGAGTGAAATGTTGTGACTCGGATATTGATTCAGTGTCCCCCCCCCCAAAGACACATAGGCTGTAGTCTAGGAACCCAGCTAGGCAAGAGCTCTACCACTGAGCTAAATCCCTGTTTTTGGTTTCTTTCTTTCTTTCTTTCTTTCTTTCTTTCTTTCTTTCTTTCTTTCTTTCTTTCTTTCTTTCTTTCTTTCTTTTTTTTTATGTATGTGCTGAGGAATTGGAGTCAGGTCCCCATGGTTACCTCACAAGAACTTTAGTGAGTCATCTCCTCCATCTTCCATTTTTTTTTTAATCTTATTTTTGGTTTTCTGAGACAATATCTCACTATGTAGCTCTTCCTAACCTGGGACTTCTTAGCCTGGGGTTTCCTAGACAGACCAGATTGGCCTCAAATTTGTAGCCATCACCCAGCCTCAATCTTAGCCTCCCACCGTACCTGGCCTCCAATCGTGACCACAGGGCTGATGCAGAACTGCCCGGGACCACCAGAGAGAGTCATATTGTATATCGATAGCTTAGGGGAAACACAAAGATAAAAATGGAAGTGTATGCAACATATCACTTGGGAATCCTAGGACAGTAGACTGGTGGGGTAGGACCAGCCATCCTAAGTCAGAGATCAGTCCCTCCCAGGGCCCTTGCCTCTACTGGACACAGACGGAAGTGCCTGGCAGGAAGTGCCTGGCAGGGAAAGTGCGCTGTCCTGCTGAGGCTCACACAGCGGGGGGTGGGGGGGTGGGGTGTCTTAGGATGCAGGGATACATCTGGGTGCAGGTGGGTCTTGTGAAGGGCCCAGAAAACCGAGTTTCAGGCATTACTATTTATGTAATGCTATCCTCTGCCTGCACTCCCCAGGTAAACAGGTAAGGAACCTGGCAAGGAGTTTTCGGAGCTCATTCTGCCTTCTGTAGGGGAGCATTGGTTGTTGGAGACCATGGGCAGTGAGAAGAGGCGAGTACAGACCCTCAGTCCGTGGAGTGCTGGAGTGCGTTGCGGGGAGGCCCCTGCAAGATGCCTGTACACGGCACCAGCTCCCAGGCACACATTTCCCCAGCAGCCAGGAACACTGCTGAAGGATCGCAGTACATCCTTTCCCTGTACTAGAGAAGCTTGTTTTGTTGGGAGAGTGGTAAAGGGACCTACTCCTCTGCTGAGGTCGCTGTCACAGTCACATTACCCAGTCTGCTTCCTTCACCCCACGGATGTTGTTCCCAAGAGCTCCTCACGCCTCCCACATGAGCATCCCCGTCTCAGGAACCGTTTCCAGGGAAACGAGCCCAAGACAAACCAGTCTTTCATAACTGCTGTGTCTGCTTACGTCACCGCCGCAAGGGTCCCACGGGAAGAAGTGAGCTAGCCTGGGAACCCCCTGTCATCTTGCACCTAGGAGGATGCATCCAGAGGGCCGAAGAGCTGGTTTCTAACGGCCTTTGGGAACAGGAAGCACAGAGGCCATTGCTAACCTTCAGGGAGGAGGGCATCCCAGGATTTCCAGACTTGAAAAGCATCTTTCTTTTTGGCATTTCCAGACAGCGCTAGGCAGCCCTCGCCATCCTGAAGTTCTTCCTTACTTCAAAGCCAGACTCCCTCCTTCCTTCCCATGTCCCACTTCCTCTCCCCTTGTCCTCGTGTAGCTGTGTTCTCGCCAGCAAAGAAAGTTGAAAGGGAACAAAGGCATATGGTTCTCCTATTAAGACTGACGCCCACACGGGAGGGAAGCCAGAGGGAAGCGTTCAAATAAGGCAACGGAACTACACTTATGTGGCACTCATTTTTGAGGCTGATTTAAAAAAAAAAAAAAAAAAAAAAAAAGCTTACCGGAAACGATAAAGCTCTCTTTTGTTCAGCTTATTACACATTTGGAATATTTAGAATATACCGGATATACCGGAGACCCCTTTACAGAGAGGCAGGGAAGCACAGAAGACCCTGACTCTGGAGCGTCACACAAGTGGGTGCAGACTTGTTTCTGAGCTGCAGATGGTGAGGCATGCCCGGATTCATCAGGGTGAGGTAGTGGGGGGTCATTTGGGCCTGGCCAGAGACATATCGGGAGACCCCGTCCCTCCTGTCCTTATTTCTGCCACACACTAGCTGTAGGACTACAGTCCACACACTTGTAATTCCCAGCACTCCGGGGGCTGTGGCAGAAGGATTGTGAGTCTGAGATCAGCCTGGGCTGCATAGAAAGAGAAACCCCGCCTCAGAAACCAAGGGGCCCGAGAGAAAGCCATCGCGCACAGTGGTTAAAAAGCTCACTGCACAAATCCAAACATAAGAACTGGAGTTCACACCCCCCAGAACCCACATAAACGCTGGGTGACCATGGTGGCCCATCACAGCCTTTCTGATCTTCAGTTTCCCCTATTGCTAGCCTTGCCACATATGACACAGGGCACGTGCATAGTGCAAGCAAGGTCCTGGGTTCCATCCTTAGCAATGGAAAAGAAAGGGGAGGGAGAGAAAGCTGGAGGAGGGAGGAGAGGGAGGAGGTAATGCCTGCAGTGTGAAGACAGCATTCCTCAAGACTGAAGCCCAAGGCTGGAGCTCAGTTGCTGGAGTGTTCCCCTAGCAGCGGCAGGAGGCCCCGGGCTCCATCGCTGATGCCCTGTAAACCCAGATGTGGTGGCTGACACCCGCAATCCAGGCATCGAGGAGGTGGAGACAGGGGGATCAGAAGTTCAAGGTCATCCTCAACTAGATAACAAATTTGAGCCTGGCCTGGGTGACATGAGAGTCTATATCAAAAGAAAGAAAGTAAGTGAGAGAGAGAGAGAGAGAGAGAGAGAGAGAGAGAGAGAGAGAGAGAGAGAGAAGGAAGGAAGGAAAAGAAAGGAAGAAAAGAAGGAAGAAAGAGAAAAAAGAAAAACTCCAGAATTTCCCACAGCAGCTACCAGATGAGAGGTCCTTCTACATTTTTTTGATAAATTAATAAACTGCTAGTAAAATTCATATGTAAAAGCTAAGGCCTGAAGCAGGCAAAGGACTCGGAAGAACCCTGCCGGTTTCAGGCCCTTTTAGAATAACGCAGTGGTCACGTGGCATTGGGGTGGGACACCAGAGTTTAGAAACAGCTATGCACACACACGTGGGGAGCTTACTGTTCCATTTTTACTCTTTACTTTTTTTTTTAAGCTAGGGATTGATCCCCAAGCTTTACAATCTGCCAGGCAAGCACCCTCCCACTGGGCTACACACCAGCCCTTGCACTGCCCTTTTCTTTTCCATGTTTATGTGGTTTGTGCGCATGTAGGAATGCTTGCATGTGTGTAGGTACATATGGAGTTCGTATGCACGCACGTGTGTGAACATGTGTGAAGGCTCCGTGTTGATACTGGGAGTTTTCCATAATCACTCTCCACCTAGTTCTTTGAGGCAGGATCTCTCAATTAAACCCGGAGCTCTCCTGTATGTTTGGTGTCCGTAGCCAGCTTTCTCTGGGGATCATTGGGCTGCTGGGCCCCCAGCGCTCAAATTTTGAGAATTTTAAGCATCTGGACTGTAGTCCTCATACTTTGTTTACATAGTAGGCTCTTAAACCACTGAGCCATCTCCCCAGCCCCTTGGCTTTTTACAATCATGTTACTCTGTGTATCTCAGGCTAGTCTCAAACTCACAAGCCTCCGGCCTCAACCTCCCAAGTGCTGGGAATTATAGGTGTGTACCACCAAACCCAGTGATACCTAATTTTTTTGTTTTTATTTTCTTGAGATAGAGTTTCACTATGTAGCCCTGCCTGACCTAGTACTAACTATGAAAACAAGAATGGCTTGGATCTCACAGAGATCCACCTGCCTCTGCTTCCGGAGCACTGGGATTAAAGGCGTGCACCACTATGCCCACTGATAACTGATTCTTTTAAAACAACGATACCAAGGCAAATTGTGTGGAGAAAGATTTTATTTTTCAACAAATGGTGCTTGGAGAATTGGATATCCATATTCTAAAAACTGAACTTGGATCTATGCCTTATGCTACATGCAAAATGTAACTAAAAGTAGTTTATAAGTCTACATGTGAAACCTAAAACTATAAGGATTCTTTAAAAAAAAAAAGAAAAAAGAAAACTTTGATGTGATGGCCTTGGCCTTGTTCTTGGGTTAGGCAAAGACTTCTTAGATATGATTCTAAAATAATAAACCAAGAAACAAATACATAAATTGCACTTCAAAACAATCTGTTGAGAAATAAGCCACAGATTTGGGGAAAAGATTTGCAAATCCTATATCTGATGATATGTTAATAGCCAGGGGCTTGGGGTGTAGCTCAGGGCAGCATGTGAGAGTCCCTGGGTTCAATACCCAGTAATATAGAGAGACTGAACTTATTTCCAGAATATAACAGAATGGTCAAAACTCAATAATAAGGGGGTGGGGAAGACAATGATTAAAAAATGGGTGCCTAGCCTGGCGGCGGTGGTGCATGCCTTTAATCCCAGCACTCAGGAAACAGAGCCAGGTGGTTCTCTGCGTTTGAGGCCATCCTGATCTACGTAGGGAAAAACAAAAACAAATAAACAAACAGTTAAATAAATGACAAGTGCATTCAAAGACATCCAATGTTATTAGTCCTTTGATATATGCAGATTAATAACTTCACAGGACCAGACACGGTGACACCCGTGTTCAAACAACTAAAATAGAGAAGTGACCACACACACCACACTGGATGTCCGGGAAGTGGAGAGAGAGCCTAGACGCCTCCTGTGCCTGTAAACTATGAAATAGTTCTACCAGCCAGGTATGCTGCCATGGGTCTGTGGTTCTAGCCACTCAGGAGGATTTCTTGAGGTCACATCTTCAACACCAGCCTGGACAATACAGTGAGATCCTATCTTAAAAAACAAAACCCAAACAACAAAAACTGGGACTTTGGAAAAGAGTTTGCTAGCTTCTCACAAAATTTAATGTGTCCTTGTCCTGACGCAGCCACTCTCTTGGAAAGTTACTCTGGAGAATGCTAATATCCACCCACCCAGGCACTTGGTCACCTGTGTCCATGGCGGCTTTATTGGTAAAAGTCATGAGCTAGAAATAGCTCAATATCCTTCATTACATGAGTGGAAACTGACCATCATATCCAAGACTGGCCTCTCTGGGAAGGGATGTAGGATGCCCAGCCCTCAGCAGAGAGGTCTAGGATACTCTGAGCAGTGATGTCGCCATGAGCTGGCTCTCCAGCCTTGAGTTGGCCCAATTCCGCCCCTCTGGATGTTCTGAGATGGCCCACCCTGGAGTTGAGGAGCAGAAGGTAAGGCCTGCAGCCTCTAGATGAGAGCTGCCCATGCCTTTGCCTACCATAGACTTAAAGTTCATCCCTGAACCCCTCTAGCACAATACAAATAGGAGACCACCTTCAACATACCCCTGCCCCCCCCCCCACTTCTTCTGGCAACCCTGCCCCTGCCCTCCGAGAACTATCCATCCTGGATTGTGTCACCATCCAAGGCTGCTACCTCCTTGTTAGAAGCATTCAGCACACAGCAAGGATTTGGTGTGCATTTGCCAATGGAATGAAGCATCTCCTGTGGTTGAATGTTTAGCCTGTGGAAGCTTATTTACTTCTTTGTGTGCGATTGCGGTGCTAGGGGCTGAATCTAAGTCCTTGTACCTGAGAAGCAAGTGCTCACTCCATTAATGAGCTACATAGACAGCTCCATTTCTTACTTGATTTATTAAAGATTTATTTGATTTTTAATCATGTATATGTATGTGTGTGTAGGTATGTGCATGTGAGTTCAGGTGCCTGAGGAAGACAGATTTCCCTGGAGTTAGACTGCATTCATTCATTCATTCCCTGGAGCTGGGCTTATATTGTGAACTTCCCAATGTGGGTGCTTATATTGTGAACTTCCCAATGTGGGTGCTGGGATCTGAACTCAGGTCCTCTGGAAGAGCAGCATACGCTTTTAACCACTGGGCCATCTCTCCTGCTCTCTCTCTCTCTCTCTCTCTCTCTCTCTCTCTCTCTCTCTCTCTCTCTCTCTCTCTCAGCTTTAAAAATTGTACTATGCAGAGTTACATAAAGGCATTTTCATGCAATGTAAACTGTGGTCTGCGCATGCCCACCCATCCCCGGCTACTCTCCCGCATTAGTCCCCTACACTAGTGTCCCTCATTTCCTAGACAGTGTAGCTTTCACTATCCTCAGTACGTGCATGATTTCATACATCTGTAATCTCTAGGACCTAAGAGTGAGATAAAACATACAATATTTGTCTTTTTGAGATTGACTTAACTCCTTAACATAATTATCTCCAGTTGCATCCATTTTCCTGCAAATGACATAAC